ATGGTGTTAGACTCGACACGTCAGACAGCCTGTGCAAAATTTGGTCAGATTGGAGCCACTTTTTTTTCTAAAAGTGCCAGGGCTGCAGATATTTCATATGTTGTCGCCACTGCCAAATGGGGCGTGGCGGCCTCATTTCGGGCCCCCTAGCCCCTTGGGTTGCAGCGTAAGGGGCGCTTGAATTGTTGACCCAAGTGTCAAAAAGTTTCCCAACTGGACGCTCCAGCTGCAAAATCCCTCGTTAAGGCCTTTTGGCCAGATCAAGCACCCCCCGTGGGATTCGGGGGTAAGGCGCGCATGTGTTCCCGAACATCGCCAACGGTCCGCTTTGTCCCCATTCAAGTGATGCCAAGTGTCGACTACATTGACACCGTGTCACGTTTTTGACAATGGCAATACCTTGCAATTCATTTTTCCGTCCAAACGGGAACATAATCCTTATCCAGGTCATGACACCACTGTAACCGGCTGCTCCTGAGTATGTACTGCACGGTGCTGAATCGGACCGGTGACCTCAGGTACGGTGTCGGTTATTGAGCTTTTATCACTGCACAGCCTCGCTGGCGTCTGTCACACAATGTTATTTGTTAAATGGTGAATGTTCTGTACTTGTACATCGCGTTCCTGATCTTCCAACCACTCAAAGCGCTTTTACACTACGTCACATTCACTGCACGGCCCGGAATTGAACTGCCGACGTCGGGTGCGTGAGTCGGACACGCTGACGAGGAGGCTTAAACCCATGCATCATGTAAAGTGTTGGGTAGTGAGGTTTTCTCACAGCACAACCTTGCTGGCTTCCGTCACACTCACCCCCGTAAACCTCGCTCCCATCCGAGTCACGGCCCCAGTGTAACCGGCTTCTTCTGAATACGTACTGCACGGCCCTGCATCGGACCGGCGACCTGAAAAAAATTGCATGTAAAAGGAACACCGAAGTTGCACTTGAATGTAATAAATAAGTTACTTTTTTTTTTTTTTACAGAAATAGGATGCACGTTGCTGAGTAGCACTGTGCCCAAGATAAATTTCCCCTCTACGACAATAAAGTGTCTATTCTATTCTCTATGCTATTATTTTTACCAGGGAGGCCAGAGGTCAACCGATGATTTTTTTAGCCACAAGCTTATTTTCTTACCAGTGCTGTCGTGTTAGCAGGAAGAGATCTTCTGAGAAAAACTGCAACTAAACCAACACTTGGGTCTTATACACACATCATCAAAGGCATTCGACCTTTGATGATGTCATGACATTCAAAATTCAAAGTAAAAAAAAGAATTTAAAAGAAAACATTCTAACCTTTGGGACTTCTTTTAGGTCTTATTAGAAATTGTTAACATACAAATTGAGAATGGGGATGTGGTTAATAGTCATACTTTGATGATGTCATGACATTCAAAATTCAAAGTAAAAAAAAGAATTTAAAAGAAAACATTCTAACCTTTGGGACTTCTTTTAGGTCTTATTAGAAACTTGTTAACATTCAAAATTCAGAATGGGGATGTGGTTAATAGTCATACTTAATAAATTACCATGATTCCATTTGTCAACTCAATTGTCAGAAAGGTTCCCAAATGGACCCTCACGGTTCAGAAGGCCTCGTTGAGGTCATTTGGCCAGATTCCTACACCTTAAACAGCAGTTCGACGGCTGCAGCTTTCAGTGCCTGAAATTAGGTGTAACAGTGAACACCTGACATCAATTTGGTGTCCCTGGGTGCATTCCAAGGTGCCCAAATACCTGCCCAAATTTCAAAAGGTCGCCAGGTGTCCCTTATGTCAAAATTGACAATTGGGACACATATTTTTCCAACATTCAAAAGTCCGTAACTTCTCACAGAAACGTCCCAGAGACCCCAAATTTGGAACACAGGTAGTTGGCCAGGCCTAGAATAAGGTCACGTGGTCAAATTTTAAGCAAGATGTCTAGAATTTCTTTGGGCCAGCATGGACATCGCAGCTCAGGATGGTGTTAGACTCGACACGTCAGACAGCCTGTGCAATATTTGGTCAGATTGGAGCCACTTTTTTTTCTAAAAGTGCCAGGGCTGCAGATATTTCATATGTTGTCACCACTGCCAAATGGGGCGTGGCGGCCTCTTTTCGGGCCCCCTAGCCCCTTGGGTTGCAGCGTAAGGGGCGCTTGAATTGTTGACCCAAGTGTCAAAAAGTTTCCCAACTGGACGCTCCAGCTGCAAAATCCCTCGTTAAGGCCTTTTGGCCAGATCAAGCACCCCCCGTGGGATTCGGGGGTAAGGCGCGCATGTGTTCCCGAACATCGCCAACGGTCCGCTTTGTCCCCATTCAAGTGATGCCAAGTGTCGACTACATTGACACCGTGTCACGTTTTTGACAATGGCAATACCTTGCAATTCATTTTTCCGTCCAAACGGGAACATAATCCTTATCCAGGTCATGACACCACTGTAACCGGCTGCTCCTGAGTATGTACTGCACGGTGCTGAATCGGACCGGTGACCTCAGGTACGGTGTCGGTTACTGAGCTTTTATCACTGCACAGCCTCGCTGGCGTCTGTCACACAATGTTATTTGTTAAATGGTGAATGTTCTGTACTTGTACATCGTGTTCCTGATCTTCCAACCACTCAAAGCGCTTTTACACTACGTCAAATTCACTGCACGGCCCGGAATTGAACTGCCGACATCGGGTGCGTCAGTCGGACACGCTGACGAGGAGGCTTAAACCCATGCATCATGTAAAGTGTTGGGTAGTGAGGTTTTCTCACAGCACAACCTTGCTGGCTTCCGTCACACTCACCCCCGTAAACCTCGCTCCCATCCGAGTCACGGCCCCAGTGTAACCGGCTTCTTCTGAATACGTACTGCACGGCCCTGCATCGGACCGGCGACCTGAAAAAAATTGCATGTAAAAGGAACACCGAAGTTGCACTTGAATGTAATAAATAAGTTACTTTTTTTTTTTTTAAAGAAATAGGATGCACGTTGCTGAGTAGCACTGTGCCCAAGATAAATTTCCCCTCTACGACAATAAAGTGTCTATTCTATTCTCTATGCTATTATTTTTACCAGGGAGGCCAGAGGTCAACCGATGATTTTTTTAGCCACAAGCTTATTTTCTTACCAGTGCTGTCGTGTTAGCAGGAAGAGATCTTCTGAGAAAAACTGCAACTAAACCAACACTTGGGTCTTATACACACATCATCAAAGGCATTCGACCTTTGATGATGTCATGACATTCAAAATTCAAAGTAAAAAAAAGAATTTAAAAGAAAACATTCTAACCTTTGGGACTTCTTTTAGGTCTTATTAGAAACTTGTCAACATTCAAAATTCAGAATGGGGATGTGGTTAATAGTCATACTTAATAAATTACCATGATTCCATTTGTCAACTCAATTGTCAGAAAGGTTCCCAAATGGACCCTCACGGTTCAGAAGGCCTCGTTGAGGTCATTTGGCCAGATTCCTACACCTTAAACAGCAGTTTGACGGCTACAGCTTTCAGTGCCTGAAATTAGGTGTAACAGTGAACGCCTGACATCAATTTGGTGTCCCTGGGTGCATTCCAAGGTGCCCAAATACCTGCCCAAATTTCAAAAGGTCGCCAGGTGTCCCTTATGTCAAAATTGACAATTGGGACACATATTTTTCCAACATTCAAAAGTCCGTAACTTCTCACAGAAACGTCCCAGAGACCCCAAATTTGGAACACAGGTAGTTGACCAGGCCTAGAATAAGGTCACGTGGTCAAATTTTAAGCAAGATGTCCAGAATTTCTTTGGGCCGGCATGGACATCCCAGCTCAGGATGGTGTTAGACTCGACACGTCAGACAGCCTGTGCAAAATTTGGTCAGATTGGAGCCACTTTTTTTTCTAAAAGTGCCAGGGCTGCAGATATTTCATATGTTGTCGCCACTGCCAAATGGGGCGTGGCGGCCTCATTTCGGGCCCCCTAGCCCCTTGGGTTGCAGCGTAAGGGGCGCTTGAATTGTTGACCCAAGTGTCAAAAAGTTTCCCAACTGGACGCTCCAGCTGCAAAATCCCTCGTTAAGGCCTTTTGGCCAGATCAAGCACCCCCCGTGGGATTCGGGGGTAAGGCGCGCATGTGTTCCCGAACATCGCCAACGGTCCGCTTTGTCCCCATTCAAGTGATGCCGAGTGTCGACTACATTGACACCGTGTCACGTTTTTGACAATGGCAATACCTTGCAATTCATTTTTCCGTCCAAACGGGAACATAATCCTTATCCAGGTCATGACACCACTGTAACCGGCTGCTCCTGAGTATGTACTGCACGGTGCTGAATCGGACCGGTGACCTCAGGTACGGTGTCGGTTATTGAGCTTTTATCACTGCACAGCCTCGCTGGCGTCTGTCACACAATGTTATTTGTTAAATGGTGAATGTTCTGTACTTGTACATCGCTGTGATGGCCACAGCCGTGGCCTCACAACCAGATGAAGAGCGGTAACCTCATGCACTGACTTTGTTGTGTTCTTTAAGATTAGTTTATATACATTCATACACATTAGACAGTTTGTAGTAAATATTTATTTGGTTACAAATAAACTTACAGGACACTTAGTTTATTTCACATTTTTTTTTAGTTGACTATACAGAAGCATCTTTTGGATTTTCATTTTGTTATAATTCTTGTTTCCGAGCTTACCAGTGTTGGATGCCACATCCAGGAAGTCTGCTGGCTTAAAGGGTTGGTGCTCGGAGCAGGAGCAGCTTTATAGGAGAGGTGGCCTGATTGGACACTACCACTGCTTGCTATGTCTGGGGGGTGGCTTTATTCTCTCATTAAATATTTTGGGGTTTAGATTTATATTATATTTGAGTATTTTTGAGTTAAGGTTAAGTAAATGTACATTTCTTTTGGAATAAGTTTTTACATAAGTTTTGTTGTGTTTGCAGTTATGATGTAGTGTTGTTGTTGTTAGTCTTCCCCTGTGTGTCAAAATTGGTCTGATCAGCCAATATATAAGTCCCCTTTGTTTGTTGTATAGTAGGTCAGTTGTATTTTTGAGTCTCTTATGTTTAGAGCTTTAGTTTGTTTGTTTGTTTATTTGACCTCTTTTATGGGCCCAAAACTTTATCTTTTGTTGTAATGATTTTTTTGGTAAATAAAACCCTTTTGCTTTAAATTTCCCTCTTGACTCCTCATGCCTAACTGCCTGGTCCCTCACACATGGTGGCAGTGGTGGGATTAGCCAGTTGAGGAGTACAAGATTTTTTTTTTTTCTTCTCCATTTTTGGGAAACATGCGAGGAGGGAGAGTGACAAGAGGTGGCCGGACAGAGAATAAGAAGACTGAGTCAACCCATATAGAGAGAGGACACCAGGTGGAAGGTGAGGATGCAATGGAAGGTGAAGCACTAAATGGAGCATCAAGTGCTGAGGATGAAGATGGCAAAGAACCAACGCTGAGTGACTTGGCTGGGATTATGCGGTCATTTATGGGTCAACAGGAGACCCGGGAAGCAAAATTGAGAGAGGAAGCCAACCGCCAGGAGTACCAGTTCAAAGCACTACAGCATCAGTTTCGCCTTTTGCAGCAGGAGGTAGAGGTTCGCACATCTCCAGTACCAGAGCCTGCTTCCACAGTGCCAGATCCCTCTGAAAACTATGATTTGAATGTGAATCACCCAGAGGACGAAGCCTCACCCTCTGTACAGTCAATCCACCCCACCATGTCTTCAGCAGGTCAGTCTCGATCTATTCATGAGCCTAGACTGGAAAAATTTACAGAAAATGATGATGTTGAACACTTTTTAATTACTTTTGAGAGAATTGCAGTAGCATGTCGGTGGCCAAAAGTGGACTGGGTTTTTCGTCTCCTCCCACTACTGACTGGTAAGGCCAGAGGAGCCTATGTGCATATGGATGTAGATGATGCTCATGAATATGATAAAGTAAAAACGGCAATTCTGAAAAAATATGATATTAACCCTGAGACCTACAGGCAGAGGTTCAGATCCCTCCATGTGGAACTTGAAGAAAGCCCCAAGGAGCTGTATGTGAGGCTTAAAGAGCTGTATGTAAAATGGATCCAACCGCAAGGTAAAACACTTCATGAAATTAGTGAAATCCTTATCATGGAACAATACTTGAGAATGCTGTCCCCTGAGCTTCAGGTTTGGGTAAAGGAGCATGGGCCAAAATCTGCTGCTGAAGCTGCCACACTGGCTGATGTGTGTGTTGCTGCTCGGAAAAAAGGCCAGCCATGGAGTAGTAAGGACAGCCACAGGCCCATACCCCCTCCGTACCAACAGAGGCCAGCGCCAGGAGTGGGTAAGCCTCCCATGAGGGAGAACAAATATGCACCACCTAGAGCTCCTAATAGATTGCCCATTTGTTACTTGTGTGGACAGGAAGGTCATGTTAAACCAATGTGCCCAAAGAATCCAGCTAAGCTGACACAGATGTGTTTTGTTCCACGCCAGAGTGCTAACCCTGAACCCAAAGGTAACCACACCATGAAAATGGTTTGGGTTAAACTCAATGGGGAAAACCTCAGAGCCCTGATTGACACTGGCAGCACCCAGACCCTTGTACAGAGAAAATATGTACCAACTAATGCTATCTGTACCCTGGAGACTGTCCCTATTTGCTGTGTACATGGTGATGAGAAGCATTACCCCACTGCTGACATTTATCTGGAGATAGAGGGACAGATGTATCTATTAAATGTGGGGGTTGCAGATCACTTGCCTTTCCCGGTAGTTTTGGGTGAAGATCTGCCAGTTCTCTATGACTTGATAAAGCCGGTGCAAAGTTGTAATGTGGTCACTAGAGCACAAGCTCAACAGGTGGAGGTAGATTCCATAGCCCTCAGTGCCTTGCCCTTCTATAACGAAGAGTTTGAGATATGTCCCGGGAAAGCTCATAAGACTCGTAGTCAGAGGAGGCAAGACAAATTTCAGGGCACGGCTATACAACCACCAGCTGAGGCCACTCCAGACCTGCCCTTGGGTTTTCAAATACCTACAGATATAATACAAATGCAGGAAAATGATCCAACTTTGTCTACACTTTTGCAGAGGGCACAAGGAAGGAAGCAGGAGACTAATACTAAGAGTGAGCAAAATGAGTATGTCCTACAGAACGGTGTTCTTTACCATCAGAATGGCCAGGTGAAGCAGCTAGTGGTCCCACAGGTGGCCCGAGAAATAGTACTTACCTTGGGTCACTCCATTCCCTGGGCTGGCCACTTAGGGAAACATAAGACCACAGCTCGTATTAAGCGCCATTTCTACTGGCCAGGTTTGCAAACTGACGTCGCCCAGTTCTGTAGAAGCTGCTCTCAGTGCCAAAAGACATCAATGAAAAGCCCCTCCAAAGCTCCACTTCAACCTCTCCCAGTTACAAGTATCCCCTTTGAGCGTCTTGGGATGGACATTGTTGGTCCGGTGGAGAAAAGTAAAACAGGAAACCGCTTCATGTTGGTAGTAACCGACTATGCAACTAAATATCCAGAAGTCTTCCCATTGAAATCAGTTAAAGCAAAAACTGTGGCTTTTTCCTTGGTGCAATTTTTCTCAAGAGTTGGTTTCCCTTGTGAAATTTTAACAGACCAAGGTACTAATTTCATGTCTAAACTTTTGAAACAGGTTTACCAACTCCTTGGCATAAAAAGAGTGCGCACTACGCCATACCACCCGCAAACAGATGGGTTGACAGAGCGGTTCAATCAGACCCTCAAGCAAATGCTCCGTAAGTTTGTGAATGAGACTGGATCTGATTGGGATCACTGGCTTCCCTACCTCCTCTTTGCATACAGGGAGGTACCTCAGGCTTCCACAGGTTTTTCCCCTTTTGAACTACTCTATGGTCATGAGGTGAGGGGTCCTCTAGCCTTATTGAGGGACACTTGGGGAGGAGATCAGGGGAAGGAAGGGACTATTAATGTAATTTCCTATGTTGTCCAGATGAGGGAGAAACTGCAGCGAATGGGGGAACTAGCCCAGACACACATGATGGAGGCCCAAAAGCACCAAAAGACTTGGTATGACAAGTCAGCTCGACAGAGAGGCTTTCAACCGGGCCAGAAAGTCTTGGTTATGTTGCCTACCAGTGACAGTAAGCTCCTTGCAAAATGGCAGGGGCCTTTTGAGGTGAAGAAAAAGTTGGGGGCCACCACCTATCAGGTCTCCACTCCAGGGCATCAGCGTTCTAGCCGGGTGCTTCATGTGAACCTCCTCAAGGAGTGGGTCCCAAGAGCTGAGGTGTTCCTGATTCAGGCTGTAAAGGAAGAGGAGGAGGCAGATGACCATTATCTGCCCTTGCCAGTGTCCAGAGAGCTTGATGTAAGCCATCTGTCAAAGGATCAGCAGTCTCAGGTACAAACTCTACTTCACACAGACATATTTCAAGAATATCCAGGGCGCACAAACCTGGTTGAACATGACATTGTATTAAAACCTGATGCAACAGTGAGACGTATGAGTTTCAGGATACCAGAGCGCCTCCTGGTGTCCTTGAAGAAGGAAGTTGATCTCATGCTGTCTCTGGGGATAATTCAGCGATCCAAGAGTGAGTGGTGCAATCCTGTGGTGCTGGTTCCAAAGAAGGATGGAACAATAAGGTTCTGTATAGACTTCAGGTATCTAAACTCAATTTCAAAGTTTGACTCTTACCCCACCCCACGAATTGATGATCTCATTGACCGTCTTGGAAAAGCAAAATATCTGACCACCATTGACCTCTGTAAGGGCTACTGGCAAGTGCCCCTGGCCCAGCAATCTCAGGAACTGACGGCCTTCCGAACTCCCTGGGGGCTTTTCCAGTTTACGGTGTTACCATTTGGGCTGCATGGGGCTCCAGCAACGTTTCAAAGATTAATGGACCAAGTTCTCTATGGATTGTCTGAGTTTTCTTGTGCTTACCTTGATGATATTGTTGTCTACAGCACAACATGGGAGGAACATGTGGAGCATCTCAAAGTGGTCTTTGACCGCCTCCGTTCTGCCGGCTTGACAATAAATCCAGCTAAATGTGTCCTGGCCAAGAAGGAAACAGAGTACCTGGGTTTCGTCATTGGAGGTGGGTTAATTAAACCTCAGGTTCAAAAGATCCATGCAATTGAGTCATGTCCTCTCCCACAGACCAGGAAGCAGTTAAGATCTTTCCTGGGGATGGCTGGCTTCTACAATCGGTTCATCCCCAACTTCTCAGCCAGGGCGGCTCTGCTAACGGATAAGACGGGCTCAAGATGTCCCAACCAGGTTCAGTGGACAGGGGAGGCAGTGGCTGCTTTCAAGGACATTCAGAAATCTCTCAGTAAGAGCCCTGTTTTACATAGTCCAAACTTTGAGAAACTGTTCATATTACAGACTGATGCCTCTGAGAGGGGTGTGGGGGCAGTGCTTCTACAGGGACCCAAGGAGGAACGACATCCTGTGGCGTATATCAGTCGGAAACTTCTACCCAGAGAGGTCCGCTATTCGACAGTGGAAAAGGAGGCCTTGGCAGTCAAATGGGCCCTGGACTCTTTCAAGTATTACCTGATGGGCAGAGAGTTTACCTTAGAGTCTGATCATAAGGCATTGCAGTGGTTGGAGAGGATGAAATATACCAATGGGCGGATTACCAGGTGGTACCTTGCCATGCAGCCATTCCGGTTTACAGTCCAGTACATCCTGGCAAGTTCAACACCACTGCAGACTATCTCTCTCGCTGGCCCAGCAGCAGCTCTGAAGGGGGAGGGTGTGTGATGGCCACAGCCGTGGCCTCACAACCAGATGAAGAGCGGTAACCTCATGCACTGACTTTGTTGTGTTCTTTAAGATTAGTTTATATACATTCATACACATTAGACAGTTTGTAGTAAATATTTATTTGGTTACAAATAAACTTACAGGACACTTAGTTTATTTCACATTTTATTTTAGTTGACTATACAGAAGCATCTTTTGGATTTTCATTTTGTTATAATTCTTGTTTCCGAGCTTACCAGTGTTGGATGCCACATCCAGGAAGTCTGCTGGCTTAAAGGGTTGGTGCTCGGAGCAGGAGCAGCTTTATAGGAGAGGTGGCCTGATTGGACACTACCACTGCTTGCTATGTCTGGGGGGTGGCTTTATTCTCTCATTAAATATTTTGGGGTTTAGATTTATATTATATTTGAGTATTTTTGAGTTAAGGTTAAGTAAATGTACATTTCTTTTGGAATAAGTTTTTACATAAGTTTTGTTGTGTTTGCAGTTATGATGTAGTGTTGTTGTTGTTAGTCTTCCCCTGTGTGTCAAAATTGGTCTGATCAGCCAATATATAAGTCCCCTTTGTTTGTTGTATAGTAGGTCAGTTGTATTTTTGAGTCTCTTATGTTTAGAGCTTTAGTTTGTTTGTTTGTTTATTTGACCTCTTTTATGGGCCCAAAACTTTATCTTTTGTTGTAATGATTTTTTTGGTAAATAAAACCCTTTTGCTTTAAATTTCCCTCTTGACTCCTCATGCCTAACTGCCTGGTCCCTCACACATGGTGGCAGTGGTGGGATTAGCCAGTTGAGGAGTACAAGATTTTTTTTTTCTTCTCCATTTTTGGGAAACATGCGAGGAGGGAGAGTGACAAGAGGTGGCCGGACAGAGAATAAGAAGACTGAGTCAACCCATATAGAGAGAGGACACCAGGTGGAAGGTGAGGATGCCTAACTGCCTGGTCCCTCACAATCGCGTTCCTGATCTTCCAACCACTCAAAGCGCTTTTACACTACGTCACATTCACTGCACGGCCCGGAATTGAACTGCCGACATCGGGTGCGTGAGTCGGACACGCTGACGAGGAGGCTTAAACCCATGCATCATGTAAAGTGTTGGGTAGTGAGGTTTTCTCACAGCACAACCTTGCTGGCTTCCGTCACACTCCCCCCCGTAAACCTCGCTCCCATCCGAGTCACGGCCCCAGTGTAACCGGCTTCTTCTGAATACGTACTGCACGGCCCTGCATCGGACCGGCGACCTGAAAAAAATTGCATGTAAAAGGAACACCGAAGTTGCACTTGAATGTAATAAATAAGTTACTATTTCATTTTTTTTTTACAGAAATAGGATGCACGTTGCTGAGTAGCACTGTGCCCAAGATAAATTTCCCCTCTACGACAATAAAGTGTCTATTCTATTCTCTATGCTATTATTTTTACCAGGGAGGCCAGAGGTCAACCGATGATTTTTTTTTTTTTAGCCACAAGCTTATTTTCTTACCAGTGCTGTCGTGTTAGCAGGAAGAGATCTTCTGAGAAAAATTGCAACTAAACCAACACTTGGGTCTTATACACACATCATCAAAGGCATTCGACCTTTGATGATGTCATGACATTCAAAATTCAAAGTAAAAAAAAGAATTTAAAAGAAAACATTCTAACCTTTGGGACTTCTTTTAGGTCTTATTAGAAACTTGTTAACATTCAAAATTCAGAATGGGGATGTGGTTAATAGTCATACTTAATAAATTACCATGATTCCATTTGTCAACTCAATTGTCAGAAAGTTTCCCAAATGGACCCTCACGGTTCAGAAGGCCTCGTTGAGGTCATTTGACCAGATTCCTACACCTTAAACAGCAGTTCGACGGCTGCAGCTTTCAGTGCCTGAAATTAGGTGCAACAGTGAACACCTGACATCAATTTGGTGTCCCTGGGTGCATTCCAAGGTGCCCAAATACCTGCCCAAATTTCAAAAGGTCGCCAGGTGTCCCTTATGTCAAAATTGACAATTGGGACACATATTTTTCCAACATTCAAAAGTCCGTAACTTCTCACAGAAACGTCCCAGAGACCCCAAATTTGGAACACAGGTAGTTGGCCAGGCTTAGAATAAGGTCACGTGGTCAAATTTTGAGCAAGATGTCTAGAATTTCTTTGGGCCGGCATGGACATCCCAGCTCAGGATGGTGTTAGACTCGACACGTCAGACAGCCTGTGCAAAATTTGGTCAGATTGGAGACACTTTTTTTTCTAAAAGTGCCAGGGCTGCAGATATTTCATATGTTGTCGCCACTGCCAAATGGGGCGTGGCGGCCTCATTTCGGGCCCCCTAGCCCCTTGGGTTGCAGCGTAAGGGGCGCTTGAATTGTTGACCCAAGTGTCAAAAAGTTTCCCAACTGGACGCTCCAGCTGCAAAATCCCTCGTTAAGGCCTTTTGGCCAGATCAAGCACCCCCCGTGGGATTCGGGGTAAGGCGCGCATGTGTTCCCGAACATCGCCAACGGTCCGCTTTGTCCCCATTCAAGTGATGCCAAGTGTCGACTACATTGACACCGTGTCACGTTTTTGACAATGGCAATACCTTGCAATTCATTTTTCCGTCCAAACGGGAACATAATCCTTATCCAGGTCATGACACCACTGTAACCGGCTGCTCCTGAGTATGTACTGCACGGTGCTGAATCGGACCGGTGACCTCAGGTACGGTGTCGGTTATTGAGCTTTTATCACTGCACAGCCTCGCTGGCGTCTGTCACACAATGTTATTTGTTAAATGGTGAATGTTCTGTACTTGTACATCGCGTTCCTGATCTTCCAACCACTCAAAGCGCTTTTACACTACGTCACATTCACTGCACGGCCCGGAATTGAACTGCCGACATCGGGTGCGTGAGTCGGACACGCTGACGAGGAGGCTTAAACCCATGCATCATGTAAAGTGTTGGGTAGTGAGGTTTTCTCACAGCACAACCTTGCTGGCTTCCGTCACACTCACCCCCGTAAACCTCGCTCCCATCCGAGTCACGGCCCCAGTGTAACCGGCTTCTTCTGAATACGTACTGCACGGCCCTGCATCGGACCGCCGACCTGAAAAAAATTGCATGTAAAAGGAACACCGAAGTTGCACTTGAATGTAATAAATAAGTTACTTTTTTTTTTTTACAGAAATAGGATGCACGTTGCTGAGTAGCACTGTGCCCAAGATAAATTTCCCCTCTACGACAATAAAGTGTCTATTCTATTCTCTATGCTATTATTTTTACCAGGGAGGCCAGAGGTCAACCGATGATTTTTTTAGCCACAAGCTTATTTTCTTACCAGTGCTGTCGTGTTAGCAGGAAGAGATCTTCTGAGAAAAACTGCAACTAAACCAACACTTGGGTCTTATACACACATCATCAAAGGCATTCGACCTTTGATGATGTCATGACATTCAAAATTCAAAGTAAAAAAAAGAATTTAAAAGAAAACATTCTAACCTTTGGGACTTCTTTTAGGTCTTATTAGAAACTTGTTAACATTCAAAATTCAGAATGGGGATGTGGTTAATAGTCATACTTAATAAATTACCATGATTCCATTTGTCAACTCAATTGTCAGAAAGTTTCCCAAATGGACCCTCACGGTTCAGAAGGCCTCGTTGAGGTCATTTGGCCAGATTCCTACACCTTAAATAGCAGTTCGACGGCTGCAGCTTTCAGTGCCTGAAATTAGGTGTAACAGTGAACGCCTAACATCAATGTGGTGTCCCTGGGTGCATTCCAAGGTGCCCAAATACCTGCCAAAATTTCAAAAGGTCGCCAGGTGTCCCTTATGTCAAAATTGACAATTGGGACACATATTTTTCCAACATTCAAAAGTCCATAACTTCTCACAGAAACGTCCCAGAGACCCCAAATTTGGAACACAGGTAGTTGGCCAGGCCTAGAATAAGGTCACGTGGTCAAATTTTATCCAAGATGTCTAGAATTTCTTTGCACACCGTCACACTCACCCCCGTAAACCTCGCTCCCATCCGAGTCACGGCCCCAGTGTAACCGGCTTCTTCTGAATACGTACTGCACGGCCCTGCATCGGACCGGCGACCTGAAAAAAATTACATGTAAAAGGAACACTGAAGTTGCACTTGAATGTAATAAATAAGTTACTTTTTTTTTTTTTTTACACAAATAGGATGCACGTTCCTGAGTAGCACTGTGCCCAAGATAAATTTCCCCTCTACGACAATAAAGTGTCTATTCTATTCTCTATGCTATTATTTTTACCAGGGAGGCCAGAGGTCAACCGATGATTTTTTTAGCCACAAGCTTATTTTCTTACCAGTGCTGTCGTGTTAGCAGGAAGAGATCTTCTGAGAAAAACTGCAACTAAACCAACACTTGGGTCTTATACACACATCATCAAAGGCATTCGACCTTTGATGATGTCATGACATTCAAAATTCAAAGTAAAAAAAAGAATTTAAAAGAAAACATTCTAACCTTTGGGACTTCTTTTAGGTCTTATTAGAAACTTGTTAACATTCAAAATTCAGAATGGGGATGTGGTTAATAGTCATACTTAATAAATTACCATGATTCCATTTGTCAACTCAATTGTCAGAAAGTTTCCCAAATGGACCCTCACGGTTCAGAAGGCCTCGTTGAGGTCATTTGGCCAGATTCCTACACCTTAAATAGCAGTTCGACGGCTGCAGCTTTCAGTGCCTGAAATTAGGTGTAACAGTGAACGCCTAACATCAATGTGGTGTCCCTGGGTGCATTCCAAGGTGCCCAAATACCTGCCAAAATTTCAAAAGGTCGCCAGGTGTCCCTTATGTCAAAATTGACAATTGGGACACATATTTTTCCAACATTCAAAAGTCCATAACTTCTCACAGAAACGTCCCAGAGACCCCAAATTTGGAACACAGGTAGTTGGCCAGGCCTAGAATAAGGTCACGTGGTCAAATTTTATCCAAGATGTCTAGAATTTCTTTGCACACCGTCACACTCACCCCGTAAACCTCGCTC